AGAGAGCTGTTGTTGTTTTGGGAGTCTCTACATAATGAACCCAGACATGACCTTCATCTCCCCTGACTGGGATGGCACTGGGAATCAGTTACCCTGCTCAGATGGCCTGGTAGACGTGCCAAGGGGCTGAGGGGCCAATCCCACCTGGCTGCACTCAGAATAAGATGGGGTTTGAACTGCTGACGCCAATCTACCACACTCAGGCCAATTCTGACACACAGTGTCCGTATGGGGCAGGACGGAACCGGCCCTGGGGGTCCCCAAGACTAACTCTTTATGGGGATAGAAAGCCTGGTCTTTCTCCCGCAAAGCAGCTGGTGCTTTTCAGAGTTAGCAAGCACCAAGCTGCCAGAGGTCCTGTTGATGCCGATAAGACCCTGGTATTTTGTTTCCTCGTACCCGGGGTCACTAGGAGTCAGAACCAACTGGACACATTTAAAAACAACACGTGCACACACCCTCTGTGTGCCCTCATGGCCTGGCGGGTCAAGGGAGGGGCTGCCAACCACAAAGTCAGTGGTTCAAAACCTCCTGCTGCTGGCAGGTGAAAGATGAAGCCAGATAGTCTTGCTAGTACAGACTGATAGTCTTGCAAACTCTCAGGGTTCCACTCTGTCCTCAGAGGTTGAGAGGAGCTGGAATCGATTCAAGTGTGTGTTTTTTTAATGTGTGTGCAAGGGCGACAAGTTACCCCCAAACACCAACATGAGGTCTAGAGGGTGACAGGAATAGGAGCGATTTCCAGGCCTTCTAGAACGTTCCGACCATTCTGTCGCACACACCTGTCACGTGTGGAACCAGAAACCAGGTGTGTGGAGTTGACGCGGGCTCTTGGAGACTCCTTGATAGGGAGTACCATGGTGCTCATTCCGGTCGGATGGCTGCTGTTTGAGGGTAGATTGCCAGGCCTTTCTTCTGAGGAACCTCAGGGTGGACTCAAACTTCCCACCCTTTGGTGAGCAGCAGAGGGGACTCCCTACCACCCACGCGGCCGAATGAAACCCTCCGGAGAGCTCCCCGAGGCTCACGCAGCTGCCTGGGCGCCCACCTTGTACTGCAGCCGGTGCCGCCGGCCCCGCACGTGCATGTCCCTGGCGTTGGGGTCGTTGAAGTTGCACTCGCACAACTTGCAGCGAAAGCGGACCGTCCTCCCGTCCTCATTCTTCACCTGCCACGGGGGTGGGCGGTCAAGCGGCTGGGCCTTCCCCGAGCCCCGCCCCCTGCGCAGCCCATGCTGGTATTCCCCAAGGGGGTGCCTGACCTCCAGCGCCTGCTTCCCGTCCAGGTGCCCTTCTGCCCTAGCCTGACTGACCCCCGCACCCCCCCCACAGCAGGCAGCCACCTTTGTTGGCGGGGAGGGAGGGGCAAGGGCCGACCCTCCCCATCGCCTGATTTGTTGACAGATTAAATATATTCTTGGTGAAAACCCACTGCACAGCTGCTAGGCACACGGTGACACCCTGTAGACTGACGTGTGACACCGCTACCACCTTCCCTGCTAGGTGCACACTCTTGGCGTCTACCTGTCCGTCCTCAGCCAGCCTACTCCAGTCAGCCTAAGCTCCCCTGGCCCGCCAGCCCCCAGCCGTCTCAACTGCACATTAGACTAGCCCCGGCCGGCCACCTGGTCTCGTCAAAGGCATGGTTCATCACAAGGGTGACCCTCTTCACCCTTCAGAGGGCTACGCTGTGACTTGCATCAGCAGTACCTCAGGAGAGAGCGTGGTGGTTGGAAGATTTTATGCTGAGGAGACACTGGGGGCTAGGGGTGGAGTCAAGCCTGTCAATCAAGTGGTAGCTGGATGACACCGCCTTGGTAGTGTGACCTTTGGTGAGAGGGAGGGGCTCTAGGAAGCCTCCGCCTTCCTGCCTGCACGGGCACTGCCGGCCTGGGGGGTGGGGGGGGATTATATAGGGGCACCCTGCCACATTCCCACTGACTTAGGATCCATGGGACTCTGCACCCACTGGCCTGTGATCTTCCTGCTTCCCTTCCTGATTCAGTGGGAACGTGGCAGGGTGCCCCTATATCACCCCCCCACCCCCAGGCTTCCTTGACACGTGGTTACTGCTTGATAGAAAACCCTTTCTCATACTTAGATAGGGTCACTGGCTTTGTTTCTCTGGGCGACCCGGCCTGACACGGAGTGCCCATTGAAGGTTGCAAGAGGGACTCCCAAGCAAAGGCTCTACGACTCCAGTCTGGATTCTTTGAAATTTTGTTCTGCACCAACCCCCACCCCCCCCCCCCCCACACACACTTTTGTTCAGGAACCATCTTTGGTATCTCTGAGTAGAATCGATCCCCTGGGCTAGGTTGCTGCTCACAAGGCCGGTAGTTCAAACCCACCGGGTGGCTCTGCAGAGGAAAGCTCTCACGAAGCTAACAGCTGAGGAAACCATTTGGGGCTGTTCTACTCTGTCGCCTGGGGCCACTAGGAGTGTGTGTGTGTGGGAGTGGGTGGACAATGCTGCATGGCAGAAGCACTGGGGGTGCTGTGGCTTGGCCTGGCAGGCTGTGGTGAGTCTCACTGGCTCCAGCGCTCAGCAACAGAGTGGTGGTAGTCTGGGGTGGGCACTGGCTCTGCGCTACTGGGGCTGGGGCCTGTGTGCTGGGAGGGATGCTGCCTGGATGAGGCAGTCTTGGGGGGCGGGGACTGACCACTGTACTCACCGCCAGTGCAGAGCACCCAGTCCAGCCTCCCTGAGGGCAGAATTACCTCCTCCACATAGTTGGGTCCCACTGGCTCTGCCTCTCGCCAGTCCCTGGTCTCCCGGGAGCCATCGCGAGCAGCCGGCTGGCTTGGGCCCTCTGCTTTGGGTGGGATGGCCTGTGTGGGCCGGCCTCGGGCCGCCTGTGGCTGAGATGGTCCTGAGAAGGAAGAACTGAGTGATAACCCGATCCCCGCAGGAAATGCAGGCCGTGGCAGGGAAGGCCGGGACATGAACCCATGTCCTGCCCTGCTCATACCACCTCCTATGCAATGGCTTGTGGCCTGTGGCCTGGTACCACCACTCCCCAGGGAGCCTGTGACTGGCAGGAAGACCGCTGGGGCCCTTCCCCAGTGGGGGCCCACCCACAACCACACCCAGGGCCCAGGGAGGGGAGGGCGAGTGTGGGATGACTTAACCGGGCAGCCCGGGGACATGTCTGCAGCCTTGATGTCCCTGGGGGCCATCGGGTTGGTCCTCACTCACAGCGAGCCCACATGACACAGAACTGTCTCGCACAATCTCCTGGGCGGTCGCCTCAAGGGGAGCAGATTGCCAGGCCTTTGTCCCTCAGAGCTGGTAGGTGGGTTTGAACTGCTGCCTCCTAGAGGGAGGCCCAGAGCTTAACCACCTGTCCGCTCCCCACTTCTGGCGCATCTGAAGGGAGAAACTGATGTTGCTAGAGCAGCTTGGTGATTCGATTTTAAACTCGTGTTGTTATTTCTTAAACACACTGCTGCTGGTGTTGTTTAAACTCGGGTTGTTATTTCTTAAACACATTGGTGGCCCAGCAGTTACGCTTAGGTGGCAGTTCAGCACCGCCAGTCGCTCTGTGGGAGAAAGACGAGGCTTTCTACTCCCGTGAAGAGGGACCATCTTAGAAACTGACAGGGGCACTGCTCCCCTGTCCTGTAGGGGCGCTGTGCGTCAGCATGCACTTAATGGCCATTAGAGGCCAAAGGTCAGTGACGGAAACTGGTGTGGGAGAAAGGCCTGGCCATCTGCTCCCAGAAGGCTCTCAGCCAAGAAAGCCCTCAAGGGAACAAGGGGGCCGTGGGTGTGGTGCTGTCTGGGTTGTGTGGGCAGGAGGGATTAGGGAGGGTGAAACTCGGGCCTTTTGGCACTGATTGTCTAAGACACCTGTTGTGGTCAGCTGCCACGGAGTCAGCCTCTGACTCAGGGTCATCCCCATGGAGACCCGGAGGGTTTGGGAAGTGGGTGGTCAGGCCTTTCTTCCTTGTCCTTTTCAAGCTGGAGGCTCTGCTGAAACCTGTCCAGCATCCCAGCCACACGCCACAACAGGGCGGGGACTGCGCAGAGAGGCCTGGGCAGACTCTCACCCCGGCCTCCCTGGTGGGAGATGAGGAGCCTACCAGTGAACCAACGCTGTTCCCCAGGACTGGCGACCTATGCAGAGGGTGGGGGCAGGGCAGAGACTGTCGGGCAGGCTTGGGTTTGAATCCTGCCTCTGTGCACCTCAGTTTTCTCCTCCACAGGGCGGGGGCAGTGACCACAGCCCTGTAGACCAGGTGTGGGGCCTCCCGGTCCTGGCAGAGGGGGTGACAACGTGAGCTCAGAGGTGACCGGCTCAGGGTCTGGGGACTGAGAACTGCCCAGAAGGCTGCCAAGGCTGTGATCATTGTTGCTGTGAGTCGGGGCAGAGGGGCAGTGACGAGGAGGAAGGTCCTCGTGTATGGGGACAATGGTGAGGACCGGGCAGGACCGGGTGGCCTTTCGTTCTGCCGTGCACAGGGTTGCTGTGGGCGGAGTCGACTGGATGGCACCTGACAGCACTGGGAGTCAGAACGAACTGGGTAACCATGGGGTGGTCTCTATGGGAGCAGAATGCCCGGTGGTGCCTCTGGAGGGTCTGAACCCCACCTTTTTACATCAGTGGCCACGTGCAAGCCCTCTGTGCCCCAGGGCTCCTGACTGGCTCAGGAAGTGCCCTCCTTGTCACTGTCCTGGGGTCACAGCCACTCAAACCTTCAGAGCCAAGCAGGGCGTGGAGGAAGGGACTTCCCTCCCTCCCGTCCTCCCTCCCCATGTCACTCCCATCTCTGCTCAAGTCCCAACTCAGTGGATCTGGTGGTTTTTACACATGTGTACACACTCATACCCATATAAACACAAATAGACACACAACACATGTACACACTTACCCCCCCACACCCTTATATGCTGCATGAACACTTATACACATCTATACACTCACCCACCCACATACGTGTAGATACCCTTATATACATACCAAACACATACACATGTACACACTCATCAACCCACATACCCTCTTATTTGCACACATATACACATAACATACACAAGCACACACACTCAGATACACATTGACCACAAATGTACCATATATATACATACACACCTTTATATACATGCGCTTATAAACTTTATAACATTCAATCACATGAATATGTATATGCACACATCTTTTTTTGTGTGTGCACACATCTTTACACACATATAAACGCACCCATGATACACTCATACCTACTCACATTCATATCCGTGCTCCCCCTCATACTCATACATTTATACACACTCAATACATATGTAGACACATGCCCACACGCACACATCTCAAACATGTCCCACACTTACACATATGCACACTCATTCACACGTACACATACATATTCAAGTACACACTCCCCTCCCCTTCATGCACACACTCACACATGCTGGCACATCTCAGAAGCACACACCAGTGCTTGTGCCCTTCACGGTCAAGGGCCTTTTGGCTGGCAGCCTGCCAGATGGGACGCCTGGGCTGGGGGTGGAGGCAGGCCTGGCAGAGGCCACAGGGGTGCTGTCCGGGGTGGAGGGCGCAGGCGGGCCAGCACGTGGTGTCTGGGCTGGGCTGGTGCTGGCTGGCACAGGCTCTATGCTCGGGACAGGCATCCCCAGCTTGGTGTGCAGCTTGTAGACCTGGAAGAGACCCCAGATTCGGGCTCAGAGGCCCTTCTTTGAGATGCATTAAGGGCTCCCATCCCCAGCTGACACTCCCAGTGAGGAGCTGACTCACCACCCCAGGGGTACCTCCCAGTCCATAGGGTCCCACCCCCCTTTAAAAATGTAGCTCCGCTTCCCTCATCAAGAATGCCTCCTGAGCGGGTGCTTGTCAGGAAAAGGAGCTACAGGGGTCACATTGAGAAGGGCAACCAGAAATGGCTGATGAGCAGCTGAGGGGCGGTGCCTTTGTGTTGAAGGGGGTGGATGATGGCTCAGGTCAAAGGACGTCACCCCTGCTGCCGGATTGCACGGGAGAAACGGGTGGCATGCCACATGCCTTGCTGTACACTTTTTCAAGGACAAGGAGGAAGGTGGGGAAAATGGATAAAACAGATGCACACGCAGGCTGCGTGATCGCACCGATGTCAGAGGATGGAGGTGAATAGTCACACCCCCAGTGACCCTAGAGGACAGGGCAGCACCGGCCCTGTGAGTTTCTGAGACCGCCACTCTTCACAGAAATAAAAAGCCTCCTCTTCCTCCCATGGAGCGGCTGGTGGTTTCACACTGCTGACCTTACCGTTAGCAGCCCAGCGCCTAGCCACTGCACCACCAGGCACCCTGTCCTCATACCCACAGTGACACCAAAGGACAGGGTAGGAATGCCCCTGCGCGTCTCCCAGACTGTCTCTCTCTGCGGGAGCAGAACACTTCATCCTCCTCCCACGGAGTGACTAGTAGGTTTGAACTGCTGACCTTGCAGTTAGCAGTGCAGCGGGCAACCCACTGTGTGTCTCCAGGGTCTCTGTGAGTCAGGACTGACTCGATGGCACTGGGTTGGGTTCCTGGGAGGCTCTTCTCTGGGGCTCAAGCAGTGCTGACTCAGAGCCACCATGTCTGTAACAGACCGACACCACAGAAAAGCCCCGTGGGTTTCCCGAGCACCCCTCTTTATGGAGGGGTTGCCAGGCCTTTCTTATGTGAGGCTGCTGGGTAGTGAGCAGGTGAGCATACCACCATTGCGCCCGAGTTCCCTGGTGCAGTGGGGCTGGGGACAAGGAGGCACATTGCTTCTTGAGGATGGAGGTGCCCGATCCAAGGAAGGCCGCCTACCTACCTTCTGGTGCTTGGCGCCCCGGATGTGGGCTGCATAGGCATCTGCCCCAGTGCAGGAGATGGCGCACAGGCCACAGCGCAGTGGCGCCTGCACGCTCCTCAGGCTGCCGTCAGGCTGGCTGCCTGACCGCTGAGCTGCCTCCTTCTTCTTGTGCTTCTGTCCTTCCAGGTGGTCCCGGTAGGTCTGCGGCAGAGAACCGACATGTTGTGACAGGTGGGTGGCCCCAGCACTCAAGGGCCTGGCCCCCTTGAAGGGCTCAGGAGGGAGATGGGCCCAATGTCCCCAGGGTCACTTTATCTTCCTGAACGTGGTTCATGGGCCCAGGTTCAAGTCTGGGTTCTTCCCTTTGCTGGAAATAGACTCGGCTTCTTAAGAAGGCAACGCCCACATGAGCACCACCGGTCACTTCAGACCAAAAGGGCAGCGCTACCCGAGGGGCAGAAGGCGGGAGGGGGGAGGAGTGGAAACAGGAAACGCAGGGAGGAAGTGGGGGTGTCTGGCACTGTGAGGGCAGACAGAGAAGAGCAGAATTAGGAGGTGTGTGGATGGTCCTATAGGAAACCATGCCTGCACTAAAGCAAGCAAGCACTGCCCAAAGGTCCCCTGCAAGCCTGGACAGCGGCCAGGGGTGGTGGGAAGGAAACTTCTCGGCTTGCAGAACTTGACCTCCTCGGAAGCCACGAGAGGTCTGAGGGAGGTTCGAAGCGGGGACACTTCCATCTCAGAAAAGGGCCGGGGACATCCATCTGAAGGTACTGGGCAAGACACCGCCGGGGTCTGACCCAGAATCTGCCCGACTTGGTTCGTAGAACCTTCCAGCCACAGCCCGCACACTCGGCAGGGGGCAGGGGCTGGGGGGTGGGCTGAAGTCACGGCTGGGAAACACACAGGGTACTGAGTGGTTTCAGGGAGGAAATTGAGGCCACGGGGGCGGGGGTAGAGGGCGTAGGGTGAGTTACTGTCCCGTGTCCTCTGTGTCAGCGTCTGCAGCCCCAAGCCCATGTCACTGTGGTAACTACACACACGCGTTAGGCAAGAGGAGTCTGGAACAGACAAAGGTCAGGGAACTGGCACACTAAACGGAGATGGTCAATTATCTCTGGACAGAGGGACTCCCGGGCGTGCGTGTGTGGCTGGGGAGAGCCTGGGCGAGCTCTTCAGCCCTGCTCCTGGGACAATCTGGGAGGCCCTGGGCAAGTTGCTCAGCCTCTCTGGGGCTCGGGCAGTGTGTGTGTCCCAGGCTGGCAGTGAGTGGGATGCCAGGGTTGCGTGCGTGGGTCATCTGCACCCTCCCTGCAGCCTGCTGCCAAGGGGTCCATTCGGACTCCGGGGACCCTGTGGCTCTCAAAGGGACCTCGTCATGACCAAGTGGCTGTGCACACGCGAGTGTGTCCCCACAGCGCTGGTGTGTGGAACAGCCACCCAGGGTCCCGTGCCTGTGACCCCACAGGGATACAGCTGTGCACCACTGAACACAGATGCACACGAGGCAAACACCCGTGCACACACACAGGCACCCATGCTTAAAGGCACACACATACACTGGCCTACATCTGTAGAAACATACATGTACACAGACACACAACACACAACATTTTGGGGGGAGCCAGAGGGCCAGGCCTTTCTTCCAAGGCCCGGCAGAGTGGACTCAAACCGCCAGTCCTTTAGTTAGCAGCCAGGGGCGTTCACCGTCCGTACCCTCCGGACTCCTCAGGTGGTGGGGTGCTTCTACTCCTAGCCACCCCGTGCACAGCAGGACCCAACGCTGCCTGTAGTTCCTGCACCGTCCTCGTCACTGCCCTGTGAAAGCGACTGAAGCCTCCTCCCTGGCCGCCCCTCTCCTGGAGGGCCTTCCTCTCTCCGCTGCCCCTCCCTCTCCTGACAGCATGCTCAAAGTATTTGACACGAAGTCTCGCCGTCCTTGCTCTGGCCAGACGTCTTCCAAGACAGACTTGTCTGTCCCGGCTGTTCCTCCCCAGCCCCTCGTTCTCGGGCCTCGGCTCTTCTCCAGTCTTCCTACTCAGGGCCCAGCTGAGAGGTCATGGAAAACACCCGAGCTGCCGTCAGGCACACCTTAGCTCTCTGCTTTCGGGCACTTGGGGAGGTCTTTTTCTGGTATTCGCCGAGCGCATATGGAGAACAAACGCCGGCTATATTATCATCTGTGCTGAGGCTTCCTGTAGCAACCAGGCATCAGGTGCGCAATCCAAAAGAAATGGGGGTGCAGGGGAGCCTGCAAGCGGCAGGCCTGCCTTCCCACGCCATTGGCTCCCGAGCTCCTGGTGCAGTGGCTCCCTCTGCTGGCCCCTCGGGGCAATGGGCGTCACGCGCGCTCTCACAGATGGGGCAAAGCCAAAAAGCCAAAACTGCTTGAGAAGGCAGGGGCGCCAGCACCATCCACCCACGGTGAGGCCACATGGACACAACTGTGCACGGACTCAGATCATTGCCAGGTGGCTATGCACACGCGAGTGTGTCCCCACAGCGCTGGGGTGTAGAACAGCCATCCAGGGTCCCGTGCCTGTGACCCCACAGGGATACAGCTGTGTACTACAGAACACACAGGCGCAAACACGCACGCGTGCACACACCCACACACATGGCATACACCCGTGCGCGCACACACACGCATCCATGCATAGAGCACATATACATGTACACAGACGCACAACACAGGCACTCATGCTACATATGCACACATCACAGGCCCACATGCCACAGATATGTGCAGGCTAGGGGGTGCCCCTTCTCTTCTGCACATCTGCCATGCGACACGACAATGTCTGGACTCTGGGGGGTGATACTTGGCCGGGCCACTAGAAGTGCCAGGGAAGACACCAAGCTTTCTGCTCGCCCGGATGCCCAGGGCAACGGGCACAGACAGGGACTCCTGACATGATGTACTGTCAGAGCCCACATGAGCGGACCACGTGAAGAGTGAGTTCCTGTGTGCACTGAGAGCCGAGAGCCTCGGCCAGGGCCCATCACCCCATACTGGGCCATAGTGGGAGTCCATGTGCCACAGGAGCCTGGCTCCACACGGTTTCCAACTGTTGGCTTTGTGTGTGAGCAGGTCACCAGGCCTTTCTTCGGCGGCACCTCCGGGTGGGCCTGGCGCTCCAACCACTATTTGCACCCACCAGGGGGCTCCTTCTTTAGAAATTTCCTCTTTAAGAAAATCAAGTCTGGTGAACACTTTGTAGAAGAAAAAGCAGAGAAGTGAAGGTACAGGCAGACATGTCATCGAGCTCTCTCTCCACAGGGAAAGATGCACTAGAAGGTTCTAGAGGACTCAGGAAAGTGGTGGCTCAAGGCCGGGACGGGGATGAGGGAGAGGAGCGCAGGGCCCTTCTTCCGCTGTCAAGTTGGGGTCCAGTGTGGGTGCCAGGGCCCAGCCCTGCTCAGCCTGCTGATTCAGGTGTCGCTTTGGGTCCCCCCATCCCAGGCCAGTTCTGGGTCCAGGTGGTGAGGGGAGGGACACAGCTGGACATCTCATCTAGTTAGAGAAAATAGCGAACTGGTCGCCATGTCTCAAGGCAGCCTGTTTCCTCCATTCCGACAGCGCCAAGCGCCAAACACACTCGGCGCACGCAGATGTGCAGGAAGGCGCAGACACACAGCCGCGGACGCCCTAGAGACCACGCCCACCCTGCGGGCCCCGCATCACGTGGTAAACTCCACAGCTGCCCAAGGCGCCTCCCCTTAGGGTATGAGATGCTGTCACAGCGGGCACACATGCCTCAAACTATTGCCCACAAGGCACCTGGCCTTCCTTCCTGGTGACCGGTGATCGGTCCCTTTTGAGCCCTCTCCTCCTGGGCTCTCTCCACCTCACAGCGAGCAAGCATCACCTGTGCGCTGCCCGCACATGCTTGGAATGGACAGTCACAACTGTGAGGTGACCTGGAACAAAAGTACTTTGGTCAAGGGACCAAAAATCACTGGAAAGACGTCACCAGACCAATTTCAAAGAGATTGAAAGTGAGGGGCCCCAGGAACCATAAGCTGTCAAGACTCAGCCCCCACCCTAATGCATATTCATGACCATTCCTGTGACATGTTACATATTCATAACCCCCTCGGCTTCCTGTCTCACACTGCCAATGACCTTTTCCTGGGAGTAGGCCTGGGCAATTCTAGTGCCTGCTTGCTCCTGGCTTGACCACCAGTTTAATGCCGGCCCGGGCACTTCCGGCGGCTGTCTCACA